GATCCGCGCGCTCTACCTCGGAGGCTCCCGGGTTGCAGCCCGGGCGGATGCAGGAGTTAGGAGCCGGAGCACGTGCCAGTGCCTTCAGCAAGCTCTGCAGCTCGCTGCGAGGAGGCATGCGGAGCTTCTGGTCCCCACCTCTTCCTCCTCCTCCTCCTCCTCCTCCTCCTCTTCCAGGGGCCCGTCCTTCCTCTCGCCCGACCCCTCGTGCGTCTTGGCCTCCGACCGACAGGGCGGCACGCGCCGCAAGAGCACTCCATAGCAACAGCCGCGAAGCACACCGCACTTTCATACCACCTCTATTCAAGCAGTGACGAAGCGTCCTGGCTCGCCAATGGCCCTACCCAACAATGTTATAATTACCTTTCGTGGCTTCCACCAAATGTTCTTAGAACATTTCTGGCGGAGATTGTCTTATTTGAACACATCGGGTTTCTGTTCTAAGAACATTGTTGTTGTTCTTAGAACATTTTAGGGTTCTGGGAACATTTCGTGGTATGACTATAGGAATGCCAGGACGGTCGGTCCCTGCTCAATCTGTATACATATATATATATATATACATACACCAAGCTGCGCGTGATCGCGCTCGCCGCGCCCAGCGCTGCCCTCCTTTGCACTGCGGGCATCGGGTGCCTCGCCACTGCCAGCCGCTCTCTGCGGGGCCCAGGCCCATCCTGACCCCGCCTGCGGCACGGTCGCTCCCCCCCCCCGGGGGGGCCCGCACCTGCAGGCCGCCCAGGTTGGATCGAAGCTCGGTGGACCGTGCCGCATCGCTCGCTCTTTCAATCGCCAGAGCGCCCAAGACAGCCCAAGAGCCCCTCCCCAGATCGCTCCGCGACGGCCCAGAAGGGTCCCAAGCGGAGCCCAAGCCGACCCAAGAAGGGGGCCAAGTACGGCCCAGCGGAGTCTCAGCTCGACCCCGGTTGCCCCCCTGGCCAGGCTCTTCCGCAGGCAGTTTGGCTCAAGCCATTTTGGCGCACCTTACCTCAAGCCACCGGCCACCAGCGCCTCGCGACATCATGAGCTCCAGTGGCACAGATGACGAGGAGATGCAGCGGGCCTTCGAGGCCGTGAAGGCCGCCAAGGCCATGAAGGCAGTGAAGGCCAGGCGCAGCGTGAAGATCACCAGGCAGGTGCAGCAGCACATGCAGCAGGCAGCTTCCCGCGGCCCTGACGACCAGCACAGTGGACAGCACGCATCTGGGCGACCGGGCGACACTGCGACCAGGCCTGGCAGCACAGACTGTCAGGGGTATGCGGCGATGCCTGTCCCTCACCGCGTTGCCAAGCCAGAGCTGTCATGCTCTGCGAGCGTCAAGGACTCATAGTTGCAGTGAGAGTCCTCCTGCAGATCGGCCGTCGTCCGTGCCCTCCTCTCTCGACAGCTGTTGCTGCGGTTGTCGCTCATCTTCCTCTCCCACCTTCTCCAAACCACCCGCTCCAGCTTCCTTGCTACCGAAGCCAAAAGACAAATCGGCATAAGCATAACCTGTCTGAGCTCCGCGCGGACTTCTTGGATCTGCGCTGGGCCCCCCCCTCGGCGACGCCTGCAGCGCCCCACCTGGCGCGCTCCGCACGCCAGGGCGGGAGGAGCAGCGCCGATCCAAGAGATCCGCGCTGCCTTCCGAAAGCCTACGATCATGCAGTTTTTTTTTTTGTTCCTGTCTGCTCCCTGTGCCTGCGTGCTGCCTGCTGCACTGGCCGCGCACCAGCCGGTGCGCCGGCGTTCGGTGCCCGAGGCCGCCTGCGCACTCCTCGTGGCGAAGAGTCTCTGCAGCCGAGCATCGGATGGCGAAACCTCCTCCCGAACAGCTGGGCCGGCGTTTTTCTACAGCCAGCTTGCCGCAAGGCCGGCCCAGTTCTTCGAGCACGCTCGCACCTCCAGCGCGAACGGCAGAAGTTGGCCCAGAGTTCTTGTCAGAGACCTCCTGGGAAGCTGGACTAGATGCCTTGAACACTTGTTCTCTTGATCGCGCCTCCGGCTGTACGCCCGAGGCCCCCCCCCACGTCCACCCTCCGCTGCCGCTCCCTTCTCCTCCACTTGCCCTGTGTGCCCCTGCCCGAAGCGGCCCGCCGGCTTTCGGACCGCGCTGGCGCTCGCCCTTTTGCCGCTGACCCAAGAGTCGGCGGCGAGCCCAGGAGGGAGTCGAGGTGGGCCCTGAGGTGGGGCAGGCCTTCTCCGAAGGCGGCGGGGCTTCCCGAGGAGCCCTGGCTCCTTCTGAGAAGTTTTGTTGCGTCTTTATGGGAAAGGCTTACAGAGCAGGCCTTGCGAGCCTTCTGAGAAGGCCCGCCTCCTCTCACTTCCCCCCTGGGCGAACTAGCCTCCGACCCTGAGCCGGCCCCCCCCCCTAACGTTCTACCTCATCTGCGCCGCCCTGGGCGGCCTCGAGCGATCACCATTGCGGTGGAATTTCTCTTCGAAGTTTTTGCGTCGGGCGCCATTCTGGTATGGGTGTGTTCCTTCAAGACGTCCACCGAGGCGCGAACACTTGGGGCCCGGTCGCCCATGCTGAAGCTGCAGCTGCTTTTGTTAGGAGAGTGACATACAGCATGGCAGCTGCGTCAGCGTGTACATTCAAGGCGGCACATGCTCAGTCATGCAAGCTGGATGGACTTGTGAAGCCGAACCTGCCGTTCGCTCTATTCGCGCCGTCGCTCAATGCGGAGACTCTTCGGTATGCCATTCGCGCCTAAGCGCGCTGGCCTATCGGCTCCACTGGGCGTGGCCAGTTTTATCTTTTCAGGGATCTGACTGTGGATTCGAGTGCACATTGCTCCAGACCGTTGTACAGCACTTGCTTTGAGCTCGTAGCACGGCGCAGTCCCCTTCCCATCAGTTGGGGGGCCAGCTCACCGACACTGGACTCTTCCTCTGTCGCCCTCGCGCTCCGCCTCCCTCTCCCTCCCCTTCCCGCAGATGACCGGGTCCAGGTCTGTCGCGCGCTGATATTTTCAAGCCAGTCGTTGTTAAGCCTCCAGATGCGAGGGTAGCGCGGTGCTGTCGTCTCATCACAACAGACGGAGGGGACAAAAATGCGTCCATTCGGATCAACGGCGGCCCAAATTCGGTCCCAAGCCAGTTCTAAGATTGCCCAGACGGCCCCAAGAGGGCGGCAAGCTGGCCTGGCCAAAGAGGCCCCCAGGACGGGACGACGACGGCCCTTAAACCAACCCTCGATGTTTAGGCCCCCGGGACTGCCTCGACGTGCCCTTGACTCCAAGAGCGCCCCATGCTGGCCACGAGGGTTCCAAGACGGCCCGTCAAGTCCCCAGGAGACAACACAGAGGACCCCAAGGGTGCCTCAAAAGAGCTCCGAGACGTGGGCCGGACGACGCGGCCTCCCCGGAGGGGAGGGCGTTGCTTGCTGGGGCGTGGCCTTCTCGTTGGGAGTCGTCTGGTGGAGCTCGCCGAGAGCGGTGCAGTTGGAGAGTTGAACTCGTGTAGCAGGAACTGCGCGCATGCCGAGTGAGGAGAAATGGAATGAGGCGGGGCCAGAATGCCGCCCAGAACCCACGAGAGGTCCGAAAAGTGGAAGCCTCGAAAGTGGAGCAGATCCGCGCGCTCTACCTCGGAGGTTCCCGGGTTGCAGCCCGGGCGGATGCAAGAGTTAGCCGGAGCACGTGCCAGTGCTTTCAGCAAGCTCCGCAGCTCGCTGCGAGGAGGCATGCGGAGCTTCTGATCCCCACCTCTTCCTCCTCCTCCTCCTCCTCCTCCTCCTCCTCTTCCAGGGGCCCGTCCTTCCTCTCGCTCGACCCCTCGTGCGTCTTGGCATCCGACCGACAGGGCGGCACGCGCCGCAAGAGCACTCCATGGCAACAGCCGCGAAGCGCACCGCACTTTCATACCACCTCTATTCAAGCAGTGACGAAGCGTCCTGGCTCGCCAATGGCCCTACCAAACAATGTTATAACTACCTTTCGTGGCTTCCACGAAATGTTCTTAGAACATTTTTGGCGGAGATTGTCTTATTTGAACACATCGGGTTTCTGTTATAAGAACATTGTTTTTGTTATTAGAACATTTTGGGGTTCTGAGAACATTTCGTGGTATGACTATAGGAATGCCGGGACGGTCGGTCCCTGCTCAATATGTATACATATATATATACACACCAAACTGCGCGTGATCGCGCTCGCCGCGCCCAGCGCCGCCCTTCCTTGCACTGCGGGCATCGGGTGCCTCGCCACTGCCAGCCGCTCTCTGCGGGGCCCAGGCCCATCCAGACCCCGCCCGCGGCACGGTCGCTCCCCCCCCCGGGGGGGCCCGCACCTGCAGGCCGCCCAGGTTGGATCGAAGCTCGGTGGACCGTGCCGCATCGCTCGCTCGTTCAATCGCCAGAGCGCCCAAGACAGCCCAAGAGCCCCTCCCCAGATCGCTCCGCGACGGCCCAGAAGGGTCCCAAGCGGAGCCCAAGCCGACCCAAGAAGGGGGCCAAGTACGGCCCAGCGGAGTCTCAGCTCGACCCCAGGCGGCCCCCTGGCCGGGCTCTTCCGCAGGCAGTTTGGCTCAAGCCATTTTGGCGCACCTTACCTCAAGCCACCGGCCACCAGCGCCTCGCGACATCATGAGCTCCAGTGGCACAGATGACGAGGAGATGCAGCGGGCCTTCGAGGCCGTGAAGGCCGCCAAGGCCATGAAGGCAGTGAAGGCCAGGCGCAGCATGAAGATCACCAGGCAGGTGCAGCAGCACATGCAGCAGGCAGCTTCCCGCGGCCCTGACGACCAGCACAGTGGACAGCACGCATCTGGGCGACCGGGCGACACTGCGACCAGGCCTGGCAGCACAGACTGTCAGGGGCATGCGGCGATGCCTGTCCCTCACCGCGTTGCCAAGCCAGAGCTGTCATGCTCTGCGAGCGTCAAGGACTCATAGTTGCAGTGAGAGTCCTCCTGCAGATCGGCCGTCGTCCGTGCCCTTCTCTCTCGACAGCTATTGCTGCGGTTGTCGCTCATCTCCCTCTCCCACCTTCTCCAAACCACCCGCTCCGGCTTCCTTGCTACCGAAGCCAAAAGACAAATCGGCATAAGCATAACCTGTCGGAGCTCCGCGCGGACTTCTTGGATCTGCGCTGGGCCCCCCCTCGGCGACGCCTGCAGCGCCCCACCTGGCGCGCTCCGCACGCCAGGGCGGGAGTGGCAGCGCCGATCCAAGAGATCCGCACTGCCTTCCGAAAGCCTACGATCATGCAGTTTTTTTTTGTTCCTGTCTGCGTGCTGCCTGCTGCACTGGCCGCGCACCACCCGGTGCGCCGGCGTTCGGTGCCCGAGGCCGCTTGCGCACTCCTCGTGGCGAAGAGTCTCTGCAGCCGAGCACCGGATGACGAAACCTTCCCCCGAACAGCTGGGCCGGCGTTTTTTTATAGCCAGCTTGCCGCAAGGCCGGCCCAGTTCCTCGAGCACGCTCGCACCTCCAGCGCGAACGGCAGAAGTTGGCCCAGAGTTCTTGGCAGAGACCTCCTGGGAAGCTGGACCAGATGCCTTGAACACTTGTTCTCTTGATCGCGCCTCCGGCTGTACGCCCGAGGCCTCCCCCCGCGTCCCCCCTCCGCTGCCGCTCCCTTCTCCTCCACATGCCCAGTGTGCCCCTGCCCGGAGCGGCCCGCCGGATGTCGGACCGCGCTGGCGCTCGCCCTTTTGCCGCTGACCCAAGAGGCGGCGGCGAGCCCAGGAGGGAGTCGAGGTGGGCCCTGAGGTGGGGCAGGCCTTCTCCGAAGGCGGCGGGGCTTCCCGAGAAGCCCTGGCTCCTTCTGAGAAGTTTTGTTGCGTCTATGGGAAAGGCTTACAGAGCAGGCCTTCCGAGCCTTCTGAGAAGGCCCGCCTCCTCTCACTTCCCCCTGGGCGAACTAGCCTCCGACCCTGAGCCGGCCCCCCCCCTAACGTTCTACCTCATCTGCGCCGCCCTGGGCGGCCTCTAGCGATCACCATTGCGGTGGAATTTCTCTTCGAAGTTTTTGCGTCGGGCGCCATTCTGGTATGGGTGTGTTCCTTCAAGACGTCCACCGAGGCGCAAACACTTGGGGCCCGGTCGCCCATGCTGAAGCTGCAGCTGCTTTTGTTAGGAGAGTGACATACAGCATGGCAGCTGCGTCAGCGTGTACATTCAAGGCGGCACATGCTCAGTCATGCAAGCGTGATGGAATTTGTGAAGCCGAACCTGCCGTTCGCTCTATTTGCGCCGTCGCTCAATGCGGAGACTCTTCGGTATGCCATTCGCGCCTGAGCGCGCTGGCCTATCGGCTCCACTGGGCGTGGCCAGTTTTATTTTTTCAGGGCTTTGACTGTGGATTCGAGTGCACATTGCTCCAGACCGTTGTACAGCACTTGCTTTGAGCTCGTAGCACGGCGCAGTCCCCTTCCCATCAGTTGGGGGGCCAGTTCATCGACACTGGACTCTTCCTCTGCCGCCCTCGCGCTCCGCCTCCCTCCTCTCCCTCCTCTCCCCGCAGATGACCGGGCCCAGGTCTGTCGCGCGCTGAGCTTTTCAAGCCAGCCGTTGTGAAGCCTCCAGATGCGAGGGGAGCGCGGTGCTGCCGTCTTCGGATCGGGACAACAGTGCGCCCATTCGGATCAGCGGCGGCCCCAAGACGGCCCCAAGATGGCCCGAGAGGGCGGCAAGCCCGGCCCAAGAGCCTCCCCAGACAGGTCCACCCCGGCCCCGAAGAGTGCCCCCGAGACCGAGGCCCCCAAGACGGCCTCGGCGTGCCCCTCACCCCTAAGAGCACCTCATGCTTCAGGAGGGAAAGAAACACACAGACACAATTAATCGGCGATTCACCAGAAAATATTGAAAAGTATGGGAAGAGAGGGGGAAGACAAAAACCAAGAACATATGGGAAAATATTGGAAATCCTTTTATTTGTGTGTATTTATTTGTGTGTCCCAGGGCCCCTTCAATGCTGGCCACGAGGCTTCCGAGACGGCTCGTTAGGTTCCCTGGAGGCACCACAGAGAACGCCCAAGGGTGCCCCAAACGAGTCCCGAGACGAGGGCCGGGCGGCGCGGCCTTCCTGGGGGGGGAGAGCGTTGTATTGGTGAGGCGTGGTGCTGTTGCTGAGAGTCTTCGGGTAGAGCTCGCGGAGACTGGTTGCCGCTGGAGGTTTGAACTCGTCCAGTAGGAAGCGCATGCATGGGAATGAGTGGAGAATGGTTTTGAGTAAACGAAGCCCTCAGGATGTGTGTTATGGGTTTGGCGCATTTGTCGTTTTTTCCATGAAGAATACAGGAGGCACCGGTAATGTGACAACCAACGCCAAGCAGACAAACACGTTGCCATGGAGCACGATGTTCTATACCATATGTGCATCTACGCCTTCCAAATGCAGACAAACGTATGGAACGTGTAGTCATCTGGATGTGACTGTATGTGCGAGAGGGGCAGAGAGAGAGATACTATGCTCTTGGACGTGCCCTGAATCTGAAGGCGCAGTGGTTGCCTGAGAACGGTCAGAGAAGCACTGCGACCAGGAAGCAAAGCATCATAACCATCAGCACTTCTCTGAAGCCATGAGAGGTATGCCGCCCAGCGGTGCAGGACAGTCGACCGGAGTCCCGAACTTCTCGTCGCCCAGGGCTGATTGCTTGCCTGCTTGCTTTTCCTTACCCTCCTCCTCGTCCCCCCTCTCTGCGCTGCCCTCAGTATTAAGCTTCTTCGCATCCAGCCTCCTCCACCTCCTGCTCCCCATCCTCTCCGGCCGCCCCCCCCCCCCCCTCCGCCTCCCTCCTCCCGGTCCATCTCCTGCCCCTGCCCCTGTTCCTCCCCCACCTCCTGCTCCTCATCCCACCTTCCCGTTCTCCAAACACCCCCCCTCTTCTTCCTCCTCCTCCTCCTCCTTTCCATCCACCGCTTCCTCCTTCTCCTCCTCCTCCTCCGCCTCCATCTCCTCCTCCTCCTCCTCCTCCTCCTCCTCCTCTGCCTCCTCCTCCTCCTCCTCCTCCTCCTCCTCCTCCTCCACCTCCTCCTCCTCCTCCTCCTCCTCCTCCTCCTCCTCCTCCTCCGGCTCGTCTCTCCCCCTCCTTCCTCCCCCCTCCTCGCTGCCGCCCTCCGCATTCTCGCAGGGGCACCAGACTGAGGCCACGTCCTTCGCGAACCTCCGCGCTCTCCTCCCTGCCCGGCCAGGAGAACCTGCACGTGCGGGGCAAGCACGAGTGCAGCATGCCCTGCCCTGCCCAGGGCCCCAACGCCACGGAGCCCGGCGGCCACCCCTTCCTGCGGTGGAGGGGGGGGGGGGGACGGGGATCGCCGTGAAGCAGAAGGGGGGGAGGGAAGGCAGGGAAGGAGAGAGGGCGGGAGGGAGAGGGGTAGAACAACAGAGAGGGGGAGAGAAAGAGAGAGAGAGAGAGGGAGGGAGGGAGGGAGGGAGGGAGAGAGGGAGAGACGGAGACAGGGAGAGGGAGAGAGAGAGAGAGAGACGAGTCGCAGTCAGGGGGCCGAGCGTGAGATGGTACGGACAACGATTCGCCATGTGCTCGCATCTGAGGGATGCGGGGATGCCAGAGCCAAGTCCAATCGCCCACGCAGGACTCGGATAGCAACGCAGCCATGGTGAACATGAAGCTCGAAGAGTTTGTGGAGTAACCTCATGCAGGGCAAGCGTGAGCCCGACCTCAGTATTCGGAGGGGCCGCGCGGGCTTTCCATCATCCGCAGCACCATCATGACCATTGACTTGATTATCAGGTGTGTTATGTCAATCCTTACGCTCATCCGCTCATCCGCCTCACCGTCCCCCTCGTCCTTCATCTCTAACTCGTCGTCATTGTCGGTTTGGTGCTCCTCATCCTTCTTCCGTTGCCCCACTTGTAGTCGTCCTCATCCCCCCCTGTTCATTCGCCCTCCCCCCTTGCATTTTGAGGAGACGCCATCTTTCCTGCACGCACCGCCCATAGATCCCGATACCTTCTCCGACCGCCTATCTCCATGGAGAGGGAGGGGGAGGTGGGGCACTAAAGGAAGGAACGCTACGTAAGGACCGAACCCGCCTTGCACAATGAGTACGGTCAGGATCTTTGGCTCAGCCCCACCCCGCCTCGTCGCGACACGGTAGCCGCGATCCGGGTCCTCAGGCGTCAACGTCCCGAGTTCTTCCCCGCTTCCCGCCCGGCGGAGCGCAGCGACACGCTATCCTTACCAGTTTGAAGCATATCCCTATCCCTATGTTTGACATCACCTCACCTCGATGCCGATCTTAAGGATTCCCTCAGTTTCTGAGGGCCTGTCCCTAAGATTGTCCTCGTTTCTGTTGCTCGCCCACCTTAGGGATAGGGATACGTTCGAGGCTAGTTATATCCGACAGGGCACAGCGTGTCGCCAGGGCCGCCGCCGCGACGCGCTGAGCGGCAGCTCCCCGGCCGCAGGTTGCCGCAGGGGGACGAAGCCGCTGCGGGCGCCGAGGGCGGGAGGGCGCGCGCGGCCTCTCCCGGCGCACCCCCCCGGGGGTGCTGGAGGCCACGCTGCTGGGAGTGGCGGGCGAGAGCCCGACCGCGGAAGGGGCGAGGGGAGCAAGCAGCCTCGGGCCCCCCAGAGGGGCTCCGAGCCAGGTGCGAGCCAGGTGCGCTCGCCGCACATGAAGGGGCCCCAGGACACACAAATAAAAGATTCCCCATGTTTCCCCATATTTTCTGGGTTCTCGTCTCCCCCCCCACTTCCCATATTTTCCCACATTTTCGGGGGGATCGACGATTCATTGCGTCTGGGTGTTTTTTTCCCTCCTGAGCATAGCTGGCTGGCATCCTACGGCTGGCATGCCTCGGCTCAGCGTGTGGCGCCGCTGGCTCTGGCCCAGCACGCGTCGGCGCGGCACGGCATCCACGTCCTAGTCACCAGGAGCCAGCGTCTCTAGTTGTTCCTTGCCGCCCGCCCCGCGGAGCCTAGCTCGCAGGTTGTAGCGTGTCGCCAGGGCCACCGCCACGACACACGAAGAACAAGTTCCCGGCCGTACTCCCTCCGCCTATCCCTTCCGACTGCCCACAGCCCTGATGATCCACGCGAATCGGGGTG